AAAACTTAAATAATGTAAATTAAATAAATGTCCAGGCTTCAGCAAAGTGTCAGTGTTGTCTGGATTTGCTGCTCCCTTATAACATGTACCTCCATCTCAATTTTTCAAGCCAATTTGCCTATTAGACTTTATTGCTATCTAAAGCTGCCCATAGATGGATAGAATTTCAAACGCAAATTCTTAGGAAAAGTCTTAGGACAATTTGTATGAAAATTCTTAGAACATTCCCAAAACATTCATTTGTTGTTCAAAGGATTGTGTTTGCTTTAAACGTTTGATTTTGGAATGAATGGACTTTACCGAATGAAAACCACATGCACTGTTAGAAATTTGTTCATTGAAAAAAATAGTCCATCCTGCTCCTTTGAATTTTCTTGTCACTGACATTGATAACAAACATTAGCTTGACCCACTAATGATTAGAACAAACTATCTTAGAACCTTCTTTTCCCATGAATTTTCATTCAAAATTCTAACCATCTATGGCCAACTTGACCCTGTTGGGGAGACTGGCCATGTCTTCTCTTTCCTGGTGTCCTGGTTGTTATCAGACATAGTGGGGTTTATTTACTAAAGCTGGAGAGTCCAAAATCAGACTCACTTCTGCATAGAAACCAATCAGCTTCCAGGTTTCATTGCCAAAGCTTCATTGAACAAGCTGAGGTTAGAAGCTGATTGGTTTCTATGCAGAAGTGAGTCTGATTTTGGACTCTCCAGCTTTAGTAAATAAACCCCAGTCAGTCTGGCTGAAAAAAGACAAAAGTCCATCCAGTTCAACCATTAAAAAAAAAAAGTTATAATCCTATACCCACAGTTGATCCAGTGGAAGGCAAAGAAAACCCAGAAAGTATGATCTAATTTTCTCCTGCTGGGAAAATAATTCCTTCCTGATCCCCTGAGAGGCAATTAGATATTTCCTGGATCAACTTTACCTATAAATGTTAATATCCAGTTATATTCTGTGTATCTAAGAAAGAATCCAGGCCTTTTTTAAAGCAATCCACTGAGCTGGCCAGAACCAACTCTTGAGGGAGTTTATTCCACATTTTCCCAGCTCTCACTGTGAAGAAACCTTTCCGTGTTTGGAGATTACATTTCTTTTCCTCCAGATGTAAAGAGTGCCCCCTTGTCCTCTGTGATGACCTCAGGGTGAATAGCTCTACACCGAGTTCACTATATGAACCACTGATGTATTTATACATGGGGATCATATCCCCCCTTAATCTCCTCTTCTCAAGAGACAGACAAATGGCAATAAAACCACAAGGGGATTTGGCCTTTCTCTACTGAGCCAAGATTCGAGTTTGTATTTCTGTCAATACCTCTATTGAAGGTTTTTCTTGACTTGCTATCCTAATTGCAATGTTGGAGTACCCCCCTGACCTTAAAAAAAAAAACCTTGAATATACCTACTTACTTTTTCTAGCTGTATTTGTTGGGCTGCATGACATCTCAGATCTTCTTCTTCCTTGGAGAAGATGGACTTTAATTTGACTTTGAAGTTTAGGTAATTAATTGCAGCCTAAACACTTCATGTTTCTTGATTTTGGTCTGATTCCTCAATGGAAGGAAAGGAACGTAGCAAGCTGATCTTTTTTTCAAACTACACATACAGTATATATAAAATAACACAATTGAAAAAACTCTGTGTTTCCTTTAAAGTATTCTCAATGGAAATACTACTTTTGTACTTGTGTGAAGTATTTTCATGCAATAATACGATCCACAAACCATTCTGCATCTGTTTGCACTTACTGAATACTTACAGGATGTACCTTTGCCAAGTCCAAACGGGATTCAGTAAAATCTTGTAGAGTCATTAGTGAATTGCAGTACTCAGGAATTTAAGTCTTCCGAATCATTTTTATTGAATCCCAGCGTACATTAATTTGTATTGCCATCACTTTAACAAAAATATTTACAGAGAAGAATATTTATGGGACTAATACAAACATACAGCACTACAGCTACATCTACTGTAGCGTTTCTTCGAGTCGATTTAGTTGAAGGATTAGTGAATGTTTCATTTATTATATAGCTTTTTGTGAACACAACGCTAAAAGCTGATAATTTTATTGGAGAACCATTTAAGTTGTATAAAGATTGAGGAACCACAATTTATGAGGTTACTGTACAGTTTATGTAAGGTGTAAACGGTGACTTCTTGTCTGCATAAAATATACACAAAAACGTACTGTTTATTTAACAGACTTAAAATCCTGTGTCATTTACTCTTTGGAGACATATCTCTGCCAAAAAATTGAGACGCCTGAAAAACAAGCTAATTTAAGTGCAGCAAGAAAAATTGAACATTAAAATGACTGATGTGTGATTGATCAAGTAAACTAAGTAGAGTGCTGATGACTATTTTTAGATATGAGTATTGTTGTTATAAAGATAGACTTTTATTTAAATCATCAAAACTATTTTAAAGCACAGCTTTAGTAGAAAAATAGATGACAGATTAAAATATCTCAATTTTTTATATTTTTAATACAATATACAGGTGTGCTCAAAAGTTGGCATACCCTGGCAGAAATCATGACATTTTGGCATTGATATTGAAAATATGACTGATCATGCCAAAAAACTTTTATCTTGCTTCCTGGGCACTTTACCCCCTTCCTGCCCTGGCCAATTTTCAGCGCTCAGCACTGTTGCACTTTGAATGACAAGTCATACAACACTGTACCTTTATGAAGTTTTTATCATTTTTTTTCACACAAATAGAGCTTTCTTTTGGTGGTATTTAATCACCACTGGGTGTTTTATTTTGTGCTAAACAAACAAAAAAAGACCAAAAATTTAGAAAAAAAAATTTTCTTTGCTTATATTATAAAATTTTGCAAGCAGGTAATTTTCTCTCCTTCACTGATGTGCTTTGATGAAGCTGCATGGTGAGCACTGATATTCCGCAATGATGGGCACTGATAGATGGCACTGATGGACACTAATAGGCAGCAATGAAGGGCACTAATAGGCAGCACTGAAGGACACTGATAGGAGTCACTGATAGGTGGCACTGATTGGCAGCACTGATGCAAACAAATTGGCAGGAATGATGGGCACTGACTGGCCGCATTGATTGCCAGCATCTGTTGGGCACTGATTGGCAGCGCTGATGGACTGTTGGGCACTGATTGAAGCTGATTGGTTTCAGCGCTGATGGACCCTTATAGGATAGACATTAATTGTCTGCACTGATGGGCACTGTTGGGGCTGCACTGATAACCAGTGTCCTGATTATCAGTCTAGATGTCTCCTTTCACATTTACCGGTTATCGTCAGTGCTTTTCTTACACTGTGAAAGCGTGAGGAAAGTGCTTCCGATAACAGGCAAGTGTGTTTACATTGTTGTGATGAGCAGTGACAGGACACAGGTGATCATGTGGTAAAGGGCTGCTGTGATTGGTCCTTTACCATGATATGTGATCAGCTGTGTCCATAGGACACAGTGGACACAGAGAGCGCAGTGGGTGCGTGCGGATGTCATATGACGCTCTCCCAGAACTGGACATCCACACTGTAGCCATCATTCAGTTATAGCGCGGTCAGCAAGTGGTTAAGAATAGTGATCATGTGAAGCAATTTATTATCAAATAGTTTTTGGCTCCTTTTTAAATCCTTAAAAAGTTTCCATAACCTGGAATGTTTAGCCTTGGTACAGACACACAAGGTGACCCACACATGTTAAAATGGCAATTAAAGGTTAATATCCCATCTGTGGCTTTTTAAATTGCAATTGGTGTCAGTGTATAAATAGTCAATGAGTTTGTTAGCTCTCACGTGGATGCACTGAGCAGGCTAGATATACTGAGCCATGGGGATCAGAAAAGAACTGTCAAAAATGAACAAAGTAATGGAACTTTATAAGGATGCAAAAAAAATATATAAAAAGATATACAAACCATTGAATATGTCAGTCAGTACTGCAACCACTTATTAATAAGTGGAAAATTTGGGGATTGCTTGATAGCCAGCCAAGGTCAGGTAGACCAAAAATGATTGCAGCCACAACTGCCAGAAGAATTGTTTGGGATACAAAGAAAAACCCACAGGTAACCTCAGGAGAAATACAGGCTGCTCTGGAAAAAGACAGTGTGTTTGTTTCAAGGAGCACCATACGATGATAATTATGGCTGAAAATGATTTTTATTCAGAGGGTGCATAAAGTAATACAATAGGCACAATAGGTGTAGATTAAAACAATAACCAACAGATCCCCACAAACAGAAAAAGGGGACACACACATCAGGTCAGAGTGAATACACGGTCCAAATCGTCCAAACAGCGAAAAACTTTTTAAGATGTTTCATTTTCCTGGGTCAGTAGTTCCTCCAGCCTCATTGTACCATTCATAACATGCACCCAGTGTAAGAGGGAGGGAGCACTGGATGATTTCCACTTGGAAGGTATCAACTGTCTGCCAACAGACACAAAAAATTGGAGCAGACTCATTTTTTGTTGACATAGAGAGCCTGGTAGAAGGGATAACAGGGCATACAATGATACTTAAACAAAAATGAGCTGCATGGTCGAGTTGCCAGAAAGAAGCCTTTACTGCGTCAATGCCTCAAAAAAATCTGGTTACAATATGTCCAACAACACCTTGATACACCTCACAGCTCTTGGCACACTGTAATCTGGAGTGACAAGACCAAAATAGAGCTTTATAGTCACAACCATAAGCGCTATGTTTGGAGAGGGGTCAACAAGGCCTATAGAGACAAGATTATCATCCTCACTGTGAAGCATGATGGTGGTTCACTGATGTTTTGGGGGGGGGGGGTGTTAGCTTTAAAGGCACAGGGAATTTTGTGAGAATTGATGGCATGTTTTCTTTAACCGCCTCCCGCCCGCCATATAGTGAAATGACGGGCGCAAGTCTGTTCTCTTGTTCTGGGAGGACATCATATGACATCGTCCCATTCTAAGCACGCATGCGCGGCTTCGGGAGAGCGCAGCGTGGCGATCTGTGGTGCCCTGATGATCTGTGTAGCCCCAGCAGTGTCACCTGTCAGTGTCCATCACTGTCAGTGCTCATCCATGCCACCTGCCAGTGCCCATCAGTGCCACATCAATGCCACATATCAGTGCCTACCAGTGCACATCAATGACACGTATCAGTGCCCATCTGAGCTGCCTTTCAGTGTCACCCATCAGTGCCAGTCAGTGCCACCTATCAATGCCAGTCAGTGCCACCTATCAGTGCTGCCAATCAGTGCCACCTATCAGTGCCAGTCTGTGCCGCCTATCAGTGCCAGTCAGTTCCGCATATCAGTGTGCATCAGTGCCGCCTATCAGTGCCCATTAGTGCTGCCTATCAGTGCCGCCTAACAGTGTCACCTAACAGTGCCAGTCAGCGCTGCCTATCAGTGCCACCTATCAGTGCCATATATGAGTGCTGCCTTTCAGTGCCCATCAGTGATGCCTGTCAATGCCCATCAGGGCCACCTACCAGTGCCTCCTCATCAGTGCCCATCAGTGCCACCTATCATTGTCCATCAGTGCAGCCTGTCAGTGCCCATCACTGCAGCCTCATTAGAGCACATCAGTGAAGGAGAAAAATCACTTATTTACAAAATTTTATAACAAAAACTAAGAAAAAAACTTTTTTTTTCAAAATTTTCAGTGGTTTTTGGTTTGTTTAGAAAAAAATAAAAAAAACCCAGAGGTGATTAAATACCGCTAAAATAAAGCTCTATCTGTCACAAAAAAAATAATAAAAATTGCATATGGGTACAGTGTTGCATGACCGCGCAATTGTCATTCAAAGTGTGACAGTGCTGAAAGCTGGAAATTGGCCTGGGCAGGAAGAGGGTATAAGTGCCATGTAGGCTAGTGGTTAACAATGGTACATGCTGTATATTACTAATTCTCCAAGGATATGCAAACTTTTGAGCACAGCTGCAATATAATTTTTCCATAAGGTATAGAACCACAGAAGTTATCATGTTGTAGACCAAAAATCCCTCCACTGCCTTCTTTGGCCTCATGCACACAGGACGTTTTTTCCACACCTGAACACCTTTGCGTCTGTCAAAAGCAGCTTTAAAAAAAACGCACCTAAAGCCACGTTTTCCCCATGCATTTAGGTGCATTTAGGCGCGTCAAGCATTTGGGCGTTCATTGATTCCATTGCACAGAATATTAATTTATTCTAGCCATTGGAATGGAGGAAGGCTCAAGCACTAAATGTGTCTAACAGTAAGGCATGTGTAGACAAACTTACATGTGTGACAATAAGCTCCTCTCCTGAATGTTATGGGATTTTTTTTCAGCCTCTTAGGCTGCATTCACACCAGGGGCGGACTGACCATTTGGAAACTCAGGTCAGTAGGGGGCCCCATGAGATGCCCCTGGTACCTTTTTCATAGGCTTTTTTGAGTTTGGGCAAGGACACAGGGGCCCCATGATCCCCTATTGCCTGGGGGCCCCATGAGTTGTCAGTCCACCCCTGATTCACACTTGAGCGTTTTGTAGCTTGAAGCTCAAAGCTTGAAGCTCCAAAAATGTTCAAACATAAAAAAAAACTCTGTGGTGCCTGTTCGCGTGATCACGTGTGAACAGGCACCATAAAAACAATTGATTTTTTAAGTTTGAGCTTTTTTGGAGCTTCAAGCTGCAAACACTCAAGTGTGAATGCAGCCTAAATGCTCCTCTTCTAATACTCCGGTAATTACCTATTTGTGCATTACCACACTTACTTATTCTTTATTCATGGCAGCAGTTTACATACATTGACTCCTCGGTGACCCTGTTCAAATTAAACACATTAACCCCTTAGTGACAAGTTTCCAGTGTGTGTGTGCATTAAAGTGGTTGTAAACCTCAGACATGAGATATGAACAAAGCACATCCCTCTATAGTGTGTACTTGTCACAATCCAGATCACTAAGTGTCATTTCTCTCTGCTGCTTCATTCCTCAGCTAATAGCAGAAATCACTGCTGAAAAGGTTTTTCTGACACCAAGAGAAAAATGGTGATGGGGAGGGACCTCCAGCAGATTGACAACCTCAGCCTTCCCTCCAACCAGCTTTCAGAGCTCTGCAAAGTGAAATGTTAGATCTCCACCCCATATTTTCAGAACTCTCAGACAAGCTTTATAAAATATTGATTTTGATCAGATGTAGTGTAAAGAATACTGCAGATAAACAGGTACAATTTATGTAGGAGGATCACTTCACTGGGTATATGTAAGGGTTTACAACTACATTAATCCCACCAGGTCAAGGTTGTATATCCCTCTATAAAACACCTAGAGATACAATTGTACTGTGATGGTCACATCCCCCAGACACCTGCACCACATTCTGAAGACTGCCAACCCCACTCTCCTTCCCTTGACAGTTTTACCCTCCTATCTAGCAGATTGGTAGACAAATACTTCCCCATAAGTTCTAAACACTTCAAACTGCAATAATCAATTAATAAAATGTATAATACTATTATATAATTATTAGACATTAATACACCGACTAAGTAAACTAACACACAAACCCTTTAATTATAATAATTATAATATGTACCAACGGGCACACTTCTGCAAATAGAAAATGAAAAAAAGTGAGCGCTGATCCTAGAAAGCAGCTAGGCACTCTAAGTAACCAATAAATACTTATACAGAATAATATAAATAAAAGTGCAGCGCTAAGTGATAAATCTGAAAATTGTCCACTATAAGTCCAGTTCATATAAACGTGCCAGATGACAAATAGAAATCCACAATGGTGATCCGTGAGGAAGTAGCAGAAATGCGCACTCACCAGAAGGCGGATATACGTAAGCAGTATATATCAAAAGCCCATGGATCCTCGGTCAAGAAGAAACAGGTCTGGTCACCGTGGATTGGCCTTTCCTTTCCTCAAGGGTGAAGAGCAAAATTCTTCCTCCTCTTAGGTGGATGCTTGGATTCCTAATAAGGACTCTGCAAAGAGGTACTCCTTTTCCCAGAGGTTATGCTGCTCCATGTGCAGATGGATGCCAGGACATGGAGCAGCATAACCTCTGGGAAAAGGAGTGCCTCTTTGCAGAGTCCTTATTAGGAATTCAAGCATCTACCTAAGAGGAGGAAGAACTTTGCTCTGCACCCTTGAGGAAAGGAAAGGCCAATCCACGGTGACCAGACCTGTTTCTTCTTGACCGAGGATCCATGGGCTTTTGATATATACTGCTTATGTATATCCGCTTTCTGGTGAGTGCGCATTTCTGCTACTTCCTCACGGATCACCATTGTGGATTTCTATTTGTCACCTGGCACGTTTATATGAAGTGGACTTATAGTGGACAATTTTCAGATTTATCACTTAGCGCTGCACTTTTATTTATATAATACACTTCTGCAAATATTTTCTGCATGTAAAGATGTTCTTTTGAAAACAATACTACACACTGATAGGATTATCTACATTATGCCTCACTTATATGTATATCTTAAATAAATATATAATACAGGACCAAAGCTTCTATTTAAAGAATAAGTTCACCTTTCTCAACATTTAGGGTGTAACATGTAACATGTTGTGCATCTGCCTCCCCCCCGATCCATCACCTCCTCGTGATAACAGGCTGGGAATCTTCTCTCCACACCTGCTGTCACAATTTGAAAACACGCGGCTGTGCAGGGCTCCGTCCACAAGGCCGCGTCATTCATTCTGATCTGTCATTCACTTTGATAAGGTTGCGTCAGAGTTCTGTGAATTAATGAACTACAACTACACTACCATCAGCCATTGTGGCTGACGGCTTGCAGTTCTCAATTAACTGAGAGGGCACTGGTGGGGGCTCTCATAGTCCTTTGTGCTTCCTAAACTTCAGTAACTGCCTGCTCGTATTGGAGGTACAGGCAGTGTACTGACAGTCTGCAAGAGCCTGACATTGCACCCACGATCTGCTTTACAGGCTCTCAAGAGGTTGTAAATGGACTTTAACTAAGTATGAGAGGGTCCTATCACCTATTAAAATATGTAATATGGCAGTATGTGCAGCAATCTATAACCAGAATCAGAATTCATCATTCTTAGCTGTAAACTTATGTCTGATCTTTTACTCAGGCTTCCCTGGGCCTGACCTCCAACATTCCCCAAGGCCCGCCCACTGGCTGTCCCACCAAATCCACCCACTCATCATCACACTGAGTCTTTCAGTGCACCTAGTTTTATTTTAACACTATTACAACTTAATATATGAAACTGAAAAGTGTATTCTAAGTCATCAGGGCTTTCAAGATTTAACAGTAAGGAATTATATTTTGGCCAAAGAACAGCAAGAGACAGCCTCATATATTCAGCACAGAGACATCCCCATATATGCACGAAAGAGATGGCCCAACACAGCAAAGAGACATTCCTATATATTCAGCAAACAGATGACCCAATGCAGTAAAGAGGCAGCCCCATATATTCAGCAAAGAGACAGTTCAATCCAACAAAGAGACATCGCAGTCCAGCAATGAGATATCCCCATATATTCAGCAAAGAGGCAGCCTCATATATTCAGCAAAGAAACATCCCCATGTATTAAGCAAAGAGACAGTCCAATCCAGCAAAGAGACAGTCCAATCCAGCAGAGACCTCCCCATATATTCAGCAAAGAGACATCAGAATCCAGCAAAGAGACATCCCCATATAACAAAGAGACAGCCCAATCCAGCAAAGAGACAGTCACAGCACAGGCCCACATCCAGCAACATGGTCAATCAATTTACCACTGTAATGTCTAACAACTTGTCTCCAGACCAGTCAACAGTGAGCACCCAAACCAGCATTCAGTCTGCAGGGAGAGGCGGAGTGCAGATGATATCACTCTGCCTTCCCCCCTGCCATCGGAACTAAGTGAGCTGCATCATCTCACTCCGTGTTGCCCTGCTTTTGCAATTGCTAGTTACTACAGCAGCAACAACTTGGTCTTGTTGGTTGGACCCCCTACATGTGTATGGGCTGTCTCCCTCTGGTGGTGGCCCTACATGCTGTTATATCAAACAAGCTTCCTTCTGCAGGATTCACAAGGTGCATTATTTCACATACATCAGTTCTACAACCTAAGAGGAGAGAAGACTCAGTGATGGGCCTTTATTGGTCTTAGGCCTTGTTAAGAAATGTTCGCAAGCAAGAAACATAGAGAACACACTAGAATGCATTGAGAGGTATAGGTTCTTCTCTTTACATCCATCCAGGGATGGCAACACACGCATTTAAGATTTTTGCAAATTTCTAAATTGAATAGATGTTACAATCTGATTGTAGACCGTTATTTGTCATCTTGCAGAAAGGGTCTTTTGTGGAACTAAAA